AGATAGATAGATAGATAGATAGATAGATAGATAGATAGATAGATAGATAGATAGATAGATGCATGCATGCCAGTGGTCTCCATGAGTTCAAGACCAGCCTGGGCTACACAGTGAAATTCTATCTCAAAAAAAGAGAGAAGATTTAACAAATTCTCCTAAAATGAATTCATTTTCACCACTAATGTGAAAGCTCATTATCATTTTGTACAAGGCCCCAGAATTAATGGGTCTCTCCTGTAGACACCATCAACAGCCAGTAAAAAGTCTCTATGTGTAGAGACTTTTCTAGAAAAAAACAGTACATAGCAAAACATGTCACCACGGTCATTAAGGAGTAAAACAACAACTAGAAAAGACCATTTATACTACATATAGTTACCAATTAGTGACACAAATAAATTCTAAGAACCCCAAAACAAAAGTATATAACATGTTAACAGAGTCCGGGGAAGAGAAGCAACTGGTATCCTAGCCACCTGATTCTGTAGGCAATATTTATGTTATGTAACTCCCTGATAACTTCCAACTTCTGTCAAACCCACCCAGGAAATAAAAATTAAGAACAAAGATTGTGAATCCTGAATCTCTATGCCTTAAGAATACTTTCCCTTGGTTTCATCGGATAAAGGAAGCCGGATTTTAAGTAAAGAAAAACCAAACAAAATAGAAAACACAAACACACTTCATACTATTCACAGAGAGTACAAAGCAAAATACCATTTGCAGTTAGTTTTCAAAGAAAAATTTAAGTTTAACAGATGCCAAAGAAATACAACTGAAATTAACATGAAGTGACATGGCCATTGTGTTTCACTATGAATGACAGACACTTAGGCTAGTTCCACTTGAGAACTAAAACAGAATTGCCATCACAGCCTATGTCCAGTCAACGAACTGCAGCGGAATGAATACACCCAAAACTCGAGAAGGCAAGTGCTTAACGCAGTTTGTGAGTCCCCTAGAAACAAAGGTGTACGAAAGTGACACTGGTTTGCCTCAAAGTCATCTCAAATGATGGGAACTCCTTTATAAACAATGGCCTTTTCAAGAACTGGAGTGCTTCTCCTGATCCAGGCAAGCCAAAGGTTTAGGGAGAAAAAAGAAGAAAAAGCATTCTCGAAACAACTTCACTACGGAGTGGAAAAGCAAAGACCGAACTCTACAGCAGTGCTCAATCCCATTTTCATTGTCAACTCCTGAGTTCACAGTGGGGTCTAGAAACCTAAAGCGACCCAGCATTTATTTCAGCTGAAACATGAGGCGGGGAGTACACACTTCCCCCCCACCCCCACCAACAGTCTTATGCCCCTCGCACCCCAGCAAAGTGTCAGCGAGCCCTATTTACCGAAAGCAGAGATTCGCTAGTTCTGAAACCGCTGGCGGCTGCACCAGAGCTCGGGGGGCTGCCCGGCTCCCGGAGCGCCGGCCGCGCCCCCCACCCACCGACCCCAGGAGAAGGCGCGGAAAAAGCCCCCGAGGGCGGCGGGGGCGCGCACTGTTTACCCGGCTCGACGGCCCCGGGGAGCCGCTCGCTCCCGCGACCGCCGACTCTGTCCCGGCGGCGCGCCCCAGCGAGCAGCCCTCCCTCCGGGGAGAGCCAGAGCGGCAGGCGCCCACAGAAGCGGGCAGCGGGGGAATGCGGGTCCGAGGAGGCTGGGACGCTGCCGAGGAGGGTCCGCCACCCGCCTCGCGCCCGCGCGCCCCCGCGCTCCCGCGCCCCGCAGCCCGCGCGCGCGGCCGAGGGCCGCCGAGGGGGAGGGGCGGCGGCGCGCGCACCCCCTCCTCAGACGCCCGAACTTCCCTCAACTCCCTCAACTAAGTTGCGCTCTCACCGTGCGGCTCCCCGGGCTCCCCCGCGGGCCGAGCCGGAGCAGCTCCGCGCCTTGGCCGCGGAGAAGGACAATAGGCGGCCGCTCCCTCGGCGGCGGCGGCGGCGGCGGCGGCTGGAACAAGGAGCAAGCACGGCGGTCTCGACCGAGCCCAAACGCTTAGCAGCGGCTGCTCCGGCTCCGCGACCGCCCTGCAACACAGCCCTGCCCACCCGCGCATGCGCCGCCTGCACGGGGGGGTGGGCGGGGCCACCGGCCGGGTCTGAGACTCTCCAGTGGACCGCCCGACTGCCCATCACGTTCTGTGCGACCAATAGGAGTGCTCGCTGGCTGTTGGCTCCCGTTGCTAAGGAACGGTGAGGTTGACCGCCACTGCTGCCAGGCGGCAAAGTGATCAAAGTCGGGTGGCTGGCAGCAGCTGCTGGGGAAATGCCCACCCACCTTCTCCTATCCGCCCCATCTCCGGAAGCCGCCCTTCCTCCGTGCGCCTGCTGCTTACCTAAGTCGGAGCACTAACCACAGGTTGACAAAATTTACTCTTGTTTCACTTCCAGCCGAGAAATGGAGTCCTCTGGGGTGGAGCGACACTGTGTACTCAACAAGTGTGTTGGATGGGTGAATGGTCCTTCGGCGGGATCAAGGTTGTCGCAGTGTATCCTGTGACTTTGAGCTACTCGATCGCCACAGAAAGCATCGCCTCTGAGTTGCTGTGGACTTCAGAAATCATCATTCGGAGAAACAAAGAATGGATATGTGCCAATGGTGACCCAAGAGATTATATTAACTGGTACAAGAAGAAACTTCTCTTTGATAGTTACATATTATAATGTGTTATTAAGGAAAAACACGCCTATCATGCCAAACTATTTTGACAGATCTTGTTTCTTCGGTCAATAGAAAGTTGAGAAAAGGACGGGGGTATAAATATTAAGCAAGAAACGCGAGGCTTCCTGTACAGCTCAAGATTAATTTATGCTGGTTGGAGTAAGAAAGGTGGTTTCCTAGGGAGAAAAGGGTATTGACTGGAAAGGAACAAGATAGAATCACTGCAGTATTGGCCCTGTATTTTGATTTAAGTGATTAAAACATAGGAATATAAAAATGGTCATGGAGCTGAACCCCTAAGATGAATGCCCCTTTATAGGACGGGGCTTCTAGGAAAGGGAGAGCCAATTTCCTTTAATAATTGGACCGACTCCCCCCCACACACATCATACTCCAGTGGATGGCCCAGCAGCCATACATATGTAGACAGTTCAAGTTTAATATGGTGGATTATAATGTTTCAAAAAAAAAAAAAAAAAGGAATGTTGAGAGGGATGGGGTGGGTGAACATGACCAAAATATATGACTTATTGAAACTTTCAAAGAATTATATGAAAAGATTAATCTCATTACTAAACGTCAGCTTTTTAAAAGAAAAAAAAATAGTAGTACAAGATATGGCCCTGCCAAAAAAAAAAAAAAAAAAGTAAAAGTGAAAAGCATTGCCATTTGGGAAGTTTGAATTCAGGCAAGCTCACGACCATCACCCACATACCTAACAGAGGGTATGAATGCCTGCTAATTGTACCATGCATTTCTGTTGTTAAATGTCACTTTCCCTTTTCTAATTATTTTAATTGAAAAAAATTCACACAATATGTTTTAATCATGTTTTCCCACCTGCCAGTTCCTCCCGTATCTTCCCACTTCCCTACCCACCCAACTCTATGTTCTTTTTTTCTCTTCCTCTCATCTTTCAAAAACAAAAAGTAAGAAACACAAAAATAGAAATCAAACAATCAAATCGCAAGACAAAAACAAAACAAAACAAAATGAAACAACAACAAAAAAAGTCCACAAGGATACGGCTAAGTTCATTGTTTTGGCCAATTATTCCTGAAGTGTGATTGATACACATACAGACTGCATTAGAGAAAACGGACTTTCCCTTTGCCAGTGCACAGCAGTTGTGTAGAGCTTCTTTCTGAGGGGTGGAAGCCGGTGACCACTTCCCCTTCTCGGTGCCAGCACTCCTTCCGGCTTGAACCTAGGCAAATCCTGTGTGTGGTGTGCTGCCACAGTCTGCATGAACTCATATGTGCAGCAGTCCCACTGTGTCTGAAAGTCACTGTTTCCTTGAAATCATCCATCACCTCTGGCTCTTACAATCTTTCTGCCTCCTCTTCCTCATACCCACTGAGCCGTGAGGGGAGGAGTTTAATCAAAATGTCCCACCTAGGACTGAATGTGCCAATGTCTGACACTCTCTTCACACTGTGTACAGGTGGGTCTCTGTGTTAATTCCCATCTACTACACGAAGTTTCCCTGATGTGGACTGAGCAAGGCACTTATCTATGGGTATAGTCATTAGGGGTCATATTGCTATGTTTCTTTGGCAAAATAATAATAGGAGGTTTCCCCAAGACCCATGACCTATTTAGTTTCAGGTTCTTAGCCACTTTAGAAGGGTAGTTTTGAGTTCCATCTCATGGAATCACAAAGCAGTCGGTCTCTCCCATAGCATTTGTGCCACTATTAAACTAGTATGTCACGCAGTCAGGTCACTGCTGTAAGTCACAGGTTTCCTTGCCAGGGAGTATGAATGATCACTTTTCTACTCTGGGATCTTTCGTGGTACCTTACAGTACCATGAGAGCTAATCCATAAAGGTGAAGCTTTCTAGTTAGGCACAAGTCCTCTGTTTCATGTTTGATGACATCAGTGTTATCTTCAGCAATAGTGCTATACCATCAGGTTGTGGAGAGTAATCAGTAGTATTGAAAATAGCCCGATGTGAGTGTTTCTGTAGGGTCCCTCTGGCCAACACCTGAACAAGGTATCACTCATTCCTGTCACTGGAGATTTTACGGGGTAGCATAAGATGTCTAGTTGTCACCCCTATTATTTGATGATTCCATTTAGATTCCTTTCATATGTGTATGTATATTAGGAAGCTTCTACAGTAGTAGGTTTCCACATCGGTTTTTCAAAAGTCCTTTAGTATTACTTTGTCCCTCTCCAAGTCCCTCTTTTATCCTTCTCTCCTATCCCCTTCACAATTTAACCCTCCTAGTTTCCCCTTTGTCGCTCTGTAACAATATATTCTATTGCTCCTTCCTTGTGAGAGTCTCACATCCTCCCAGTCTCTTACTAACCAAGAAGTATCTAACTTCTTTGGTTATTTGGTTTGTAGCACACATATTGAAAGCTTAAAATCTAAAATATACGTCTATGATAAAAGATACAATATTTGTCTTTGGGGTCTGTTACTGCACTCAGAATAATTTTTCTCTAGCTCTATCCATTTACCTGTGAATTTCATGATTTTTTGTAATAGCTGAATAATATTCCATTGTGTAAATTTGTCACATTTTTATTATACATTCATCATTTGGTGGACATCTAAGCTGTTTCCATTTTCTAGCTATTATGAATAGAGCAGCACTGAAGATGGATGAGCAAGCATCTCTGTAGTATGGTTTTAGAATCCTTTGGATAGATCCAAAAACCACCACACTGATTTCCATAGTGACTAAACAAGTTTGCACTCTCACCAGCAATAAATAAATGTTTCCCTTTCCCTGCATCCATAACAGTTTGTGCATTCTTTTATTGATCTTGGCCACCCTGACTGCTGTAAGATGAAATTCAAAGTACTTTTAATTTGTATTTTCCTGATGGCTAAGGATGTTGAACATGTCTTTAAGGGTTTCTCAATGATTTGTGTTTCATCTTTCGAGAGCTCTCCGCTTAGTTCTGTATCCCACTTTTGAATTGGATGATTTGTTTTCTTTCTTTTTTTTCTTTTTATTCAGAGACAGGGTTTCTCTGTGTAGCCTTGGCTGTCCTGGACTCGCTTTGTAGCCCAGCCTGGCCTCAAACTCACAGTGATCCACCTGCCTCGCAATCTGCCTGCCATTGCCACCCAGAGTGCTAGGACTATGATTTGTTTTCTTAACGTTCAGTTTTTTATTCATATATTTTAGATACCAACCCTTTATCAGATGTGTAATTGGGAAAAGCTTCTGTAAAGTAAAGGACACCTTCATCAAACCAAAACGACTGCCTACGGATTGGGAAAGAATCTTCACCAACCCTATATCTGTCAGAGGGCTAATATTCAATATATATAAAGAACTAAAGAAGTTAAACAGCAACAAATCAAGTAATCCAATTAAAAATGGGATACAGAACTAAACAGAGAATTCTCAATAGAGGAATATTGAATGGCAGAGAAACACTTAAAGAAATGCTCAACGTCATTAGTCATCAGAGAAATGCAAATCAAAACGACCTTAAGATTTCACCTTACACCCATCAGAATGGCTAAGAAAAAAAAAAAAAAACTCAAGTGACAACACATGCTGGAGAGGTTGTGGAGAAAGGGGAGCCCTCCTCCACTGCTGTTGGGAATGTAAACTTATACAACCATTTTGGAAATCAATCTGGCGCTTTCTCAGACAATTAGGAATAGTGCTACCTCAAGATCTAGCTATACCACTCCTAGGCATGTATCCAAAAGAGGCTCAAGTACACAATAAGGACATTTGCTCAACCATGTTTGTAGCAGCTTTATTTGTAATAGCCAGAAGCTGGAAACAGCCCAGATGCCCCTCAACTGAAGAATGGATACAGAAATTGTGGTACATCTACACAATGGAGTATTACTCTGCAATGAAAAACAAGGAAGTCATGAAATTTGCAGGTAAATGGTGGGAACTGGAAAAGATAATCCTGAATGAGGTATCCCAGAAGCAGAAAGACACACAGGGTATATACTCACTCATAAGTGGACACTAGACTTATAATATAGGATAAACATACTAAAATCTATACACCTAAGGAAGCTAATCAGGAAGGAGGACTCTGGCTAAGATGCTCAATTCCCATTCAGAAAGGCAAAGAGAATGGACATCAGAGGAGGGAGAAAACAGGGAACAGGACAGGAGCCTTCCTGTATGTTTTGTGCCTGGATATTTTTTTTTAGATTTACATTTCCTTGACCAGGCTATCCATTTATTCTACCTTGTTTTCAAGACTTGATGTTCTCTCTTCCATGCCTTTTAATCTGTTGGGGTTTTGTTTTGACATCTTAATTTTTTCATTTCAGTTTGAGTTTTCTTTAGTGATTCTATTTCTACTTCCAAGTCTTGAAATGTTTTCATTATTTTGTTCAACTTTGTTTTCACAA